TATCTATCTATCTATCTATCTATCTATCTATCTATCTATCTATCTATCTATCTATCTATCTATCTATCTATCTATCTATCTATCTATCTATCTATCTATCTATCTATCTATCTATCTATCTATCGTTGTAGCTGTCTAGCTATCTATCTAGCTGTCTATCTAACTTTCTCCCTTTCTGCCTGTCATCTTTCTGTCGTCTATTGTTCTTTCGTCCGCCTGTCTGTCATCTGTCTTTGTGTACTTATATGTGTTTATTCACATTCATCATTATTAATTGGCACATTATACTAATTGTGTACCGGTACGAGATTTTCCGATTCTCTGTAAGGTGATGATTTGTAATTATATTTATTTTGTTTTGTAATAGTATTATTGATAAATTAAATTTTATTAATTGTAATTGTTACTGTTTTGGGTGTCGTATTTTTGTTAGTGCATTTCTCTATGGTATCGTCCTTTGTTAGGCACTGTTTGAACGAGCCTATAAAAATAAGAGATTAAAATAAGAGATTAATTTTTCACGATAGAAGGCAGTGCGTAACACAATATGCTTCTAGGAGATAATAGCTAGCTGGAAAAGATTATAGACAACATCACCACAGCAGATGTTTGCGAAATAGATATGTTTTCAAATCAGTTTTGAGGGATTCCAGTGTCTGGCTGTTTATAAGAGCGACAGGAAGGGTGTTCCAAACAGTTAGCCATTATCGGATAAGCGGATTTGTCGATTGGCTACATAAGGCGTCATGAGCGCTTTGAGATAGGACGGCGCCCGGTCATGCAAGCAGCGGTAGCACAGGAGGTACTCTATGCGAGCACGGACCGGCAGCCAATGCAACTCTCTCAGAAGTGTTTTAGCATGGTCGAATTTGCGTTTACGAAGAACTATGCGAGCCGCATTATTCTGTGCTTTTTGCATTTTATACAGGAGCGTAGCTGGGAGACCCACCATGAGAGCATTGCAGTATTACATGCGTGATAGCACGAATGCAGACATCAGCCTCTTTGATATATCCAAAGTTTATAAAGGTCTGAAATGAATAATTCTGCGCAGCTCTAGAAAAATCGCCTTGCAAAGCATGTTAATGTGCTTTTCTATAGTTAGTGTTCTGTCTGAGTAGACACCAAGGTTTCGCACTGTTTGAGCAAACTTAATCTGCACACCTAAGAGAGTAAGAGATTGTGTGTTATTTACAAATGTTAGCTTTTGAGCGGTAGCAATGGGGATCAGCTCGGTCTTGTCATAGTTCAATTTGAGCTTGTTTATGGTCATCCAGTGCTTAACTGACTCCACTTTCTTCTGTGTCATACATACTAAGAAGCTGAGGGAACTGAGAGGGAATCACGGATTGCTGAATTTGGGTATCATCCGCAAACATGTGATTTAGCATGTCAAACTGCTTGAACATTGAACCCAGGGGCTGAACGTACATAATGAAAAGCACCGGGCCTAGGACAGAGACCTGGGGTACTCCGAATTTGATAATAGACTGCTTCGAGATAATAATAAAGTTTATGTGTATTGAGCTTTGTCTATGTCCAACAATTCATGTAGGAATATTAAGCCTATTTATAATTGAATAGCTTATACAAGAAAAAATGAAACGGGGCCCCCGGCCCCAAAGGAATGGATAGTATGAGTTCAGTACCCTTCGGTATTAGAATATGGATAACAAAGTATATGCATTTTGAGTTTGGTCAAGATCCACCCATTTTTGTAGGAGTATTTTTTAATTTTAATTATATAACATAGTGGAAAAAACTACATTTTAAGACCCCTTTATGAGTTCCTTCTGAATAATGATATATAGATGTGCCAAGTTTTGTCAAGATTCATCAATCCATGTAAAAGCCTTTGTGGAACAAGCAAAGCCTGCCACACAATTTTTTTTCACTTTTAAATAAATATATATATATATATATTATGTTTATTTATTTATCTATTTATGGATCTACCTTCTTACCTATATCATTATAATATATCGATCTATCTATGTATCTATTTTCCTATCTAGCTACTTATTTGTCTATCAATCAATTTTTCTATAAAAGGGATACGTGAAATAATTATTTGGTAACATATTAAATTACGTATTTATAAATATCTCAAATTAAAAAAAAAACATTTATGCATTTATTTTTATTTCATTATATATTTAGTTATTTCTTTTTTCCCCAGCAAAGAAAATTCTGTCTCTAGGTATACCTGAAGAATTTGAAGCAAATAAGAGGAAAAATAAATTATGTGTTTAAACATGTTGTCAAAATTCATATATTTAACGATACATTGTATTGAAAACTGTTATTTCAATAAAGGAGACGTTCCAATCTTGAAAATGACCCATCTTGAAATACGAGGATCAGGGTTAAGTCATTTTCATCAAGGTATATCATTTTTCAAACTTCTTAATCCACAATAAATTGCCCTAAATTAATAAACGTATAACAAATTTCATGACCCAATTAATTTTGTGTGACGTCATGAATTTACAATACCTTTTAATGAATAATAAATTATTTAAAATCACATTGATAAATGTAGAAGATTAAACAATAATAATGTATATAATACGATACCTCTTTCAAAGTTCCTTCAAGACAGCGGCTTGTTAGGAGTGCATCAACTAGCAGCAGGTAAATGGAGACTTTTTCGTTTCAAATTATTAAGTTTAAATGTGTTGTTTGTTGTTTTTTTAAATTATATTATCAATCATTTTTCATGTAGTCTTAGTGTAAAAAATACCATAACAAAACCATTTTATTTTAAATTTAAGGAACTTTTATAAGATTGTTTTAAAAAAGTATTGCTGGCATCCGTTTGTCGCAATGTGACGATGGTGAAGACTTCGCAGGACAACATCCACAAGGCATGTGATTATTCTTCTAGGATTATAAGCTGGCTCCCGACAGCAAATCGCCTCTCTCCACCCCGCTGGACAACCCAAGGGAACTTCGTGTGGATGCTACAGCTTGGCACCAGTGGCGTTGCAGGAGTTGTCGAAATGTTTCATTGCACCAATGTTATCTGTCGGCCGGACTCCATCTCCGGGTTTGAATTCAGAGATTCCTTCTCTTAAAAGAATGGAAGTTCGGCTGGAACTCCGGACCCCCAATTTGAGATTTGCTCAGTTTAGACCATTCGTCCACCAAGCACCGATTATTGATCGTTTTAGTAATGTGATTTCTTCCTCCATCTATTCATAACTTAATTGATCATTTAAGAAATACTTTTTCATTTTAAATAATCAATTGCACAACAATGTACGTTTTTATTTTAAATACCATACATGTTCATCTAAAGGCCACTCTCGTCTATAAGTTGAGGTCAATTTTTCCCAAGCAATTATGAAATATGTTTTGGCTCAAAGATACCAAGGGTAAAACTTGGATCTGTGAAAGTTTATAATTTTGTCAGATTTTACCAAGGAGGAGTAAAATGTAAATTAAATTATAGCCACCTGCTATTCGGGATCTCTCGAAGGCAAGTGTTTGTAAAGGTATGTACTTTCTATGTAATGATCACTGTTTTTCTCCAAGTTTCGGCTCCATAGAGGAGGACTATTTTGGTATGTGTGTCAGTACAAATGCTGACCTAGCCTATCTCATTCTAGACTTGATATCAGCTTTCGAACTACCATTTATTTAAAAATTGCTGCCCACGTATGTGGAGGCTTCCAATTCTTCGATTGCATTTCCTGCCAGAGAGATATGCTCTTGATTTGCTGAGTTTACCTTCATGACCTTTGTATCTCTTGTATTCATATTGAGTCCGAGCTGTGCTGAAATTGTGGCTAATTTTTTTTGTCTATCCAGCATTTGTTGCTGGTTATTTGACCGAACTGCAATGTCATTTTCAAAGTCAAGGTCATTCAGTTTTTTTCCATCGTGTCCAATTTATCCCATTGCTTATTTTCTCCGTCCATTCATTCATTATTCATGCAAGGACGAAAGGGACAGGGGGACACTAGACATTCTTGTCAGACTTCCTTTTCTACTTTGAAGAGATATGCGAGTCTATCTTTGTGTACAACACTGCATGTCTTCTGAATCATGCAGTTTAGTTCAGATGGTAACCCAGTCATGCTGGAGACGTCACTACAAGGTTTATCGGTCCAGGCTAGTAAAGGCCTTTTCGTAGTCGAGGCAGTTTAGATAAAGAAAGAAGATCAGTTCTCTGGACTGTTCTAAAATGATGCTTAGTATTGCAATTTGGTCTGCGCATAATTTGTTTCTGCGTGGTTGCCTGGTCCTTAATTTTATTCAAAATCATTTTGTTAAATACCTTCCCTGGTACTGACAGCAGTGTAATTTCTCTGTAGTTTGCACAGTTTCTGAGATCCCCTTTTATTTGTATCTTGATGAGGTATACTTCTTTTCAAATCTTTTGGATGTGCCTCTTCCCATATCTTTTGAAACAGAGGATGCAGCATGTTGACTAATGTATCTAAATCTGCTCTCATCATCTCTGCTCTGATGTTATTCAGTCCCAATTTTAAGCTGATTGATTTACAATGTTGTTTCTTCCTTATTTCAGGCACATTCTTCTATTTGTAAATCTTTATTTGCTTGTTGTATTACCGGTGTGTCTGTGGGTGGAAGTCTGTTTAGTAATTCTTCAACGTATTCCATCCATCATTTTGTTGTTCTTTTCGTTCTGATCTACCTTAATTGTATTTGGCGGGTCTCCAGGGCTTCTTGTATTTGCTTGACAGCTTTTATGTCTTTGAGCTATTTTATGGTCTCGTTTTTCTTCTCCTATCTATCCGCTTCTTCTGCTGTTGATGCTAGAGTATCTATGTTAACTATAGTATCGTGTTTAATACTGCTCTTTTGCCATTCATTGGCGTCTTTATAGTTCTCCCGTGCTTTTGTTTTCTCTGATCTGGTGCGGGTGCTGTTTACTGTAGACCTCATTTATTTTCTCTCATTTATTTATTGCAACGTGTTGAGTAAGAAACAATATTTGTGTTTGTGATCAACTGGTCCTAATACCTTGTTGTACGTGGGTTTTACGGACCTCTTTATGTTTTCGCATTGAAGCTATATCTGGTCATCTTCTGTTTAGTTTGGTCTTGCTGTACCTGGAAATAGTTCTAAATACTAAGCGTATTTAAGTTGTCTAATAGCTGGCTGTTAACAATTTTTCTTCAGATTGAGCTTGAGTCTTGCCAAAACAAGCTGGTTATTGATAGATTGATTTAATATTTATATCGCGCCAGTATCCATGCCATTTTAGCCTGCTCACTGTGCTCTGGTCCTCCGAAATCTATTTAAACCAAAATTTTTAAATTGTTTCTTAAATGATTTTTTTTATCATTTACAATTCCCCTCAAAGATTGAGGCAAACTGTTCCATAATTTTTGCGCTATCGCTTCCAAAGAGCGCACTCCATAAGAATTTTTATTGTGTAAGTAATTTGTTGAAGACCGCAGGCTCTTCAAGGATACATGTTTATAAATCAGTTGCTTGAGATATTCCGGTGCTGAGCCATCTATGCAGCTGTACGCCAGGGACAGAATTTTGTAGTTAATGCGCACACTCACAGGAACCCAGTGGAGATTTCGTAGAACTGGAGTGATGTGGTCAGATTTTTTCATCCACAATACAATGCGTGCTGCAGCATTTTGTAACTTTTGGAGTCTCTTAATTTGGTTCTGGGGTAAACTCTACAAACAACTATTACAGTATTCTAATCTTGACTGGATTAGAGTTACCTCTACAGTATTGGCTGTTCTCCTATTGAGTTAGTACGAAGCTGACCCAGGGCATGCAGATGACAGAAGCAAGCCTTGACAACAGAACTGATATGTGGAATCATACTAAGTTTACTGTCAATATCAGATACGATATTAGATCCTCGTTTACCTAATTCATCTTGTAGTTTCCTTTTAAATTTTTAGCAAAATTACATGCGGTCAATTTAGTTGTTTGTTTTGTTAGAAGCTGTAAACCAAGATACCTTATGGATACTCTTACACTGGAATACGCTGCCCCAATAACGAGTTCATTCGCCGCGCAGAAGTCTGCTAGGCTTTTGCCGTTTTCATTACGCGCCCCATATTTTCTCCAATATCTCTTATTTTCTTTTCCAATCTCAGTATTTATCTTTCCCTCTTGGATATTTAAATCTCTACCTGGAGTTTTTTCTAGTACAGCTATTAGTATATTGAAGAAAGAATCTTTTTTGCATCGTCCTCACTTTCGTTGTTTGTTGTACAGCACTGTATTAAATTCATATTTATTTTCTACTTTTTGGTTCGGATAGTTGCTGTAATCATTCTTGGACCATGGGGTTCCGCATCCTAACAATGGCCCTTGTGCAATCCATGACAACATGAAAGCAAATCCTTATGTGTGGAGCATTTTCCTCCTCATGCCCTGAGTATATTAATGTTTCTCCCGAGGCAAAAAGTAGCTGTATAGCTTGTGTCGATCTTGTTTCTCATGTGCCCAGCAGTGTCCATTTGTATGTTTTTATTTCTTCCGCCACTTGTGCTGATTACCTTTTTCGTACATCACTCTAACAATGCAGGAGGCGTCAGTTATAGCCTGATTTAGGCCTCAAGGCTTCATAACACTTCTTGGGGGAAGAAGAGCCCTCAGCGCTGAATTGTCTGGGGTTTTTTTTTCTTCTTCTATTAACGTTTCTTTATTTGTTTTTTTTTCCCATGTTTAATTAGCTGGTCTCACGCCAACCCTCCTCGTTTTGCACCGGGGCTTGGGAACGAACACGGTGGAGTTATCACACTAGACGCTTTCGTCTAAATCTACAAAAGCTAACAATCTGCAGACTACACAATAAGACATCTCTGAATAATACCATATAGCAGTCAATCAAGTTTTTTTTTTTATTATATATATATATGACCACTAAATTCTGTGCCTATCCTGCCAAGGTTTTGAGAGTAATTTTTTTAAATTCTTTACTCTAAGCATTTTACAATTTTTAAAGAACACTTTTTTTAAAATTTGACCAAAGTTTCCGGGGAAAATCTAAATGCATCAAAATACATAAACAAGTACAGCGTGTGGCTGTTACAGTACTACATAAAGAGTTCCATCCTGATGTGATTTTTTTTTTAAAAACACCAATTTTGTGTAGCGGCAGTTCGCGTAATAGTCGCGATACAACTTTTCAGGTGACTAAGGGTTATTATTATTATAATTAACGTGGTATTATAATGCGCAGTATTCACTGCGATTCACATTAAAACTTGCAAACGAAACAGGGCATTAAAAACCAGGTGAATAAAATTATTCATCTAACAACAGTTGTGTAAAAATAATCTTCAATAATAGCCTCGTTTTGGTGACTTCTTCTGTTGTGATATTTTTACATTTCCGTATTTCTACATCCTACATGTTTTCAAATGTAAAAAAAAATATTTTGTTTTCGTTTTTCATAATGCCCATGTGCATGGGCGCCTGCAGGTAGGGGCAAGGGGGCACTCCCCCCCCCCTGGATTGATTAGATAAAAAAAATTTAGACAAAAAGATACAAAAAATGTATTAAAGTTAAGAGAAAATAAAGAGAAAGTAACTAAGCTGATGTCCTGTCCGTTCGTTCACCATACAAATACGCTACAGTAAATTAAAACTATATTAAAATATTACTAACAATTTTTGCCCCCCCCCCCTGGAACGTTAATCGGTTTTTTTACCCCCCCCCCCCTTTCCCTAGAAAGTTTTCTGCTGGCGCCTATGCCCACGTGATTTTAGTATTCCACAAATGATGTCATCACAATGTATCTTCTTTTAGTGCAATCATAATAGCAGATGGAGAAAAAAATTTGGAAGGATTTCCCATCCTCCAGTGTTGAATTTTGTAATTAGTATTTTTATATTATTTCAGGAGATGTGACCTATTGTAGAATATCTCAGTTATTCCTTGAAACTTTTATTTCGTTCCGGACCTATTTAATGAAATAGATTTGTTATCTCAAGTTTGATGGTTCAAATTATGATTAGGATGCGGCTATTCGGACCCGTTGAGAGTTTGGGTTTATTAAAAAATATTTAAAAATTATTGTAGGGGCTTGTAAGACAAAATTTGGTATCAAATGAAAGATAATTGAATGGACTATTTGTTTGTAAACTTACTTCTTCAGTTTAAATAAAGTAAACTTCCACAAATGTCATCTAAATAGAATGTAGTCAAAATGGAACCGGAAACGCATCGCCGCTATTCGGACACGGGTCCCATTAGTCTCAACTACCTTTCATTTGATACCAAATTTAGTTTTGGAACCTAACAATCATATTTTATTTTAAATTTTAATCCCAACCCCTCACTTCGCGGACCCGGGTCCGAATAGCCACTTTGTTATGATTAAACACAACCTGATGTTTACCGAAACCTGCACGACAGTCCACTTGACACTGGCATTAGGCGCGGTCATGGTGGTTATTTATTTAATATCCTGACTTGCGTAGAGGTCATATTGTACTTGGTTCACTTGGCACGACCCTCCTTGGGATCCAATGTTCAGCTCCCAAGTAGAGTGCTACCCCGCAATAAAGTAAAGTTGAACTTAACATCGTTGTAGCATGACTCTATATAGTTGGTATATAATATATATAAATATATTATATAATAATTTATATATATATATAATTTTTTTCTAAAATGACTTGTATTCAATGTAAATGAGATAATGTATTAATCTAGATGAAATAAGATCATGAAAGGGTTTGAAATATATCAAAGAGCGAAATCTTGTCCTATGGTGGATGAGCTTGGAGGCGATATTAGATCAATTAAAATATATCCGAAATGTTCATTTTAAAAAATCGATAAATCTCTATTCACTTGAGACCGTGTTGTATGCGTCGGCCCTTAAGAGCTTTGATCACGCGAGAAAGCAACGGGGATTGGTCTCATAAAAGTGTAGTTAACACAGACTCAAGGGGAACTTGCCTTACCACAAGCCTGTTTTTTTTTTTATGGAACCTAAATTATTGCGTCGTAGCAGGCTTTCACCATTCATGTGCCAATTTAACATGCCCATGTTTTCGTCTTTTAATGGGGAGTTGCACAAGAAAATTCCATTTTACTGGGCCGTGTGTAATTATTGCGAAATGAAATTATTTAAGTTCATGTTTCCCAGCACTTTAAAGTTAATTCGGAATCATATTGATTTCAAATTCTCTTTTTCTGTCTTCCTCTTTTAAAAAAATGGGGAAATACTTTTAATTTTGTTCTGAACATCCCCTTCAATTGTTTTCATTGATTTTTTTTTAATTTTTTTTTTATTTGTGCAAATGTCTCTAAATATTTCAAGTGTAGATTTTTTTGGTCATTATCTGCCGTTCAAGCTGAGCTAGGGGCCGTCCATTAATTATGTCAACAAAATAGAGGGGCATGGGGTTTAGATATGTTTGACAGTTGTTGACAAGGGGGAGGGAGGGGGGTTTAGATTAGTTGACGTAAAAAAAATAAGTTTCCTCGATTAAATGAAAATTGACTGTTTATTACATTATTTTTTTAAAAAATAAGGAGTGTAAATACTCATATAATATTTAGGTGGTTATGTGCAGTCAAGATAAATGATGTTGTTGGAGAAGGAACAGGATATTTTGAGAATAGGGGAAAGTAAATTGAGTAACAATAATTTCATCGCAGCTTGAACGGATTTCCAAAGTGTGTAACATCTATTTTGCATCACAAGTCATGTTGACAAGCATTGTTCAACAGCAACGACAATGAACTTTTTAGCATAAGAAATGTGCACCTGCTCCTCAACAAAAAGGGATTCGACCAATGCGAGTAGCTGCAAGGACAGAGCTTATGGCAATTAGTGCTCACAACGACAATGCTTCTATTTTAAGTGCCGAATAATTAGATGCGGATGATGTTGACTTGTCTGGTATATCAATTCCGCAAGATGAAATTGATAAATCAGCTACTATAGACTGAGCCCATCAGGGGTGTTATTTCAGTCGTTTCTAGGGGGAGGGGGGGGAAGGCCAAAAGCAAAACTTGGTCGGCTTGTCAAGTTGTTTATTACTGGGGGCGCAACAGTATATAGCAATTTAAATAAAACCTGCAAATTCAGGGGGTTGCACTACACAAATGATGTCCCCTGATGCCCATTGTTACGATAGAGCAACGCCTGGCTACTCGATTGGAAGATAATAGCAGCTAGAATCTATACTATAATTGTCGGCTATACTGAAAATAATCATATTTATACTTCCACAAAAAATGATATTTAGTCCTTAACAACCTTTTAATTAATTCTGCATTATTGTATTTAAGTGTAAAAACTTTTTAACTTGTGGATTAACAAGCTGAACATGTAATGAAATGTTTTTCCTACAATTTTTTGTCAATAAAATAGATCAGCACAAATTAAATTTATTTATATTTATAAACTTATTTATATTATAATTCAATTTTTAAATTATTTTGGGGTGGTGGGTTATAAAATGTTGACATAATTAAATAGGGGGGTCACTGAAAGTTTTACATTTGTTGACAAAGGGGGGCGGGGGGGGGTCAAAAAGTAATTAATGGACGACCCGTTATCTCAGTGCCCTGGTAATCCTTTATTTTTTAACTAAATTGATTTTGTATGTAATTATTTTAACCTGTTTATTTTTTGACGCTAGCACAGGACAAACTCTTTAAATTTAATGTTTTTCAATTTCGAATTTGATCCCTTCGTTGATTGATTTTTTTTTTCTGTACCATCTTTTTAAATGTGATCTAACAGATGTAACAAACAAATAATAACAAACGACTTTGTTTAGGTAATTATTTTCTGTAGCATATTTTTTTAACATTCTTGTTGTTTGTTAGCCCAACACACACGCTGTGGCTGTAAACTTTCTCAGTTCAATTTGTTAATTCCTCCCATGTTTGATTTTCTAGCCAAATATGTTTGAATGTTATCTAACGAAACTACAGGAGTAGTGTGGAATGTAGAAACGATTCTCTTGGTGTTCAATCTAATTTTTTTTTTCTCGTCTTCGAATTAGCCAAAAACCAAATCGGCATCCATTAACCAAAACTGTTCAAACTTATAAAAGGCCAGCGACTTCGCCGCAGTATAAAGGTAACACAACTTATTAATTTAAAAAAAAAATTTTTTTTGTTTTTTTTTAAATTCAAGTTGGATCTGTCTATACAAGAAAAGACCTCAATATGGCTTGAGTTTTAAAGAAGAAAAAAGGGAAATGAAATTGAAAAGTGTGAGATATTAAATATGTACAGAACTCAAACTTTATAAATAAATATTTTATTGATAATAAACCAATGTAAAACACTAAATATGTTTGTCTTTAAGGTTCTGCGACTGATCTTCGGGGTATGTCCCTTGACGTAAGTATTCCTTCAGTTAAAAAAACAACAAAAAAACGTGTATCTTAAAATTAAATTGGCTCTTGATAAAATAAAAGTCAAAGCGTTACGAAATGTTACATTAAGAAATGGCGTCAGCGGGGCGAGTCTAGACTCTTATGCCCCCCCCCCCAAATTACCCCTCCCCGGTCCGACGTATCGGGCCGCGGAGCGGCACGTTGGAGATGCCCACTGGTCAGGATGGCCCCCACGCGGGCCCCCCACCCAAGTCCCTCGCCTGGGCGCTCGACCAGGACCCCGCCTGGGTGCCGCCCCAACCAGGAGGCACCCGGTCGATCCGACACTATGCGTTTAAATAGTGCACTCGATCGACTTTCTCAGGAGTTGGGATGAAAAAATTTACGTCCTAATATCTTCCCCCACCCATCCCGGGAAAGCGTCGGACGCCCTATAAGCGTTACGAAATAAAAGCGTTTGATGCTGATGTTTCGTAATTTCTGAGGCCTTCTTAAAAATTTTTTTTTTTTTTTAAATATTTTAATTGCAGTAACTTAATAAAAGTCATTGCCAATACAAGATAATAGTCTGCCAGATTTATGTTAAATTAAAAAAAGAATTATTCTAAATAAAATCCTTCATACCATATGTAAAATTTTTTTTAAAATTCACTTAACAAGATTTTTTATCGTGGTTATGATTTTCTTTTAACATTATTTTTTTAACATTTCCTTCAAGACTGACCTTTCAAAGAAATTGAACAGAGAATTAAAGAATATATGGAATGTGATCCAAAAAATGAGCGGCCATAAGCTGACAATTGCGCTTAAGAAATACACAGTTACTTCTGATGAGCTTAATCAATGTATCAAGTCTCTTACGGGCCGCTATCAGCAACTGAAAATATTGATTGATGGAAGGAAGAAAGAGTCCTTAACAGTTGAAGATAAATTTGATGTCACCCTTTCAGAAAATGAAGTTTCCATTGCTGTCCTGCTAATCAATAGTGAAATTGAAAATATATTGACTTCCCTGGAAAACAAACAAGTAAGACACTATGTTTTTAGCGTGATTTAACTTCATTATCAAAGTTGAATGATTTGTTTTAAAAAAAGTTAATTTAGCTTTTGTAGCCCTTAGTCAGTTTTTAAGGCATAGAGAATATTTAGCGTTAACAAACAAAATAACAAGTACGTTTATGTTAAAATATTTAAATAAGGTATCTTTAATATTAACAAATCAGACATTTTAGCTTTTGTTAATAACACTACCTAAAATATGCAAAAAAGGAACAAAATTGGTAAATGTTCAGAAAGGATGCCACTATTTTCTCAATGGCTGCCATCTTGGTTGACAAGACCAGTTAATTCTGTCACTAAATCTAAGTAAATGTATCTCTAAACAAAGCCTGAACCCTAATTCACGGTAACTTTAATAAACACGCAAATTATGTCGTGGCATCCAATCCCAGCATTAGCCACAAAGTTTGATGTACTCGCTCTTTTAATGTCAAAGTCATCTTCATTATAAATAGCTAAAAAAATTACCAGATTCAAAGCATAATGATTCCTTGTGCAATTTACCTTCAGAATGTCTAAACTTATAATTGACATCTGGATTCATTTTCAATTAGGTTTTGGTTTTTAAATGATCAATATCAAGGTTCCTAAAATCGAGTAATGAAACACAAACAATTTGTGTAAGTACAACAACATATGTTCAGCTTTAATTATCCTTTTAAAAAATTTAAACATTTCGGCAAATGCCTTCATCTCAGTACAGAAAACAAAACATTAAAATAAGTAAAAATTAAATTTCCATAATATATATTTACATGTATCCTACCAAAAAAATAGAAAAGAATAAGAATGGGCGCAAAATTCAGACAAAAACAAAGTTAAGAAGTACGGAAAGGAAGTGAGTGGAAGTAAAATTTAAAAACCAAACACGAAGAAGACATGGCAGCTACTTAAAATTTTGGATTTGGTTTATACCATTACGGAGTCAACGTATCAAATCTTGTTATTATTTTTTATATATATAAATCCTATCGGTGTATTATTAGTAAACAATATACCAGTAACTGCAATATCTAAATTTCCATCATGGCTAGTGCTATTGAAATGTCTGGAAACTGAACAAAGGGCTCATTTATTTATATTATAGAGGTGTACTATAAAACGGTCATAAAGCTGAGCATACATTGTTTTACTTAAACACATTGTTTGTGTCTAAATATTCTAATTTAAAGCTTTATCGCAGTCCAACACATTCCTAAAAACGACTTGATTTCATCGCATAAATTCATGTGTAGCCTTGTAGGTTATCTCATCCAAACAATCACCATCACAGTTAAGATTGTATTAAATATTTGAATTAAGCAGAGTTCAAAACTCTAGATCAGTGGTTCTCAACCTTCCTAATGCCGCGACCCCTTTATACAGTTCCTCATGTTGTGGCGACCCCCAACCGCTAAATTATTTTCGTTGCTACTTCATGACTGTAGAGTACATGTGTTTCAGAATGTGTTACAGGTTGAGAACCGCTGCTCTAGATTTACTCAAATGTTTTGTGAAAGATTGTGTTCCTGTTGCATCTTTTAAAGAATCCGTATCCATCACTGTTAAGATAGCTTACTAATAATTTTGTTAATGGGAATCATACAAAATTAAGTTAAATCCTGCACAAAATTTTTGTTTAATTTGTTTTTTGCTCACACATTACATTTTTTTAGGGTAAATCAGGACACACTGCACAGATGCATGAAATAGTTACTAATCTAAAAACATTCTCCAATATTGCAACTGAAATCTCTCAAATTTGGTCTGGAGAAAAATTGAATGAACATAAGTTAGAGCTGATCCTCAAAAAAATGGTTAAATTGAATCAGGACTTAAAATCGCAGAAGAGCTTAACTTTAAATGAAAGACACATAATAACAGAGGCTGACATTTTTTGTAAGCTCCTTGGTTTAAATCATGAAATTGGAGAAAGGCTTTGGTCTTTAGATGAAAGCTACTGTCTGCATCAAACTACACTCTACTTTATTGAGCGATGGATGAAGGTTGCTGAAGATGAAATAAACGATAAAGAAGTTGAGTTTACAAGTGATGTAAGTGGTATTGAGATGTCATCAGGAAAGAGAGAAAAGTTTATCTCCACTGTCCAACACCTTGGATTAACCAAAGAAAAAGCCAACCAGCTGTTTTCCACTATACCAATTGAATACATTGATCAGCAAACACCATCCTACTGGATAATGAGATACATCACAAACATCATTCAATACCATCCTGTCTTTACTAACGTTCTTAGATACATGTATTCTGAAGATAAAATAGGGGAATGGTTTGAACAAAATATTGAAATTACCAAGTCCCATGAAATGAGAGACACATCAACATTTAAGATTAAAATGATCAATCATGATTCAAGTGAAAAAAGCCAAACAGCTGTAGATGCATTTTTGGAGGAAATCCAAGCAGAAGAAAACTGTGAAGTCCTTTTCCACGGAACTGATCACAAAAGTGCTAAATCTATTTTAGAGGAAGGCATACTAATTTCCCAAGGCAAGCCATGCCAAGACTTCTCCTCTAATGATGGATTCTACTTGTCGTATTCGTATGAAAAAGCACGTGAACGGTCTTCTATCGCTCTTCCACACAATCATGCAGTTCTGGTGTTTAAAATTCAGAAGTCCTTTCTTGAGGTTGATGGCAAGAAACGGTTAGATCTTTCTGGTGATAAAAATAAATGGGAAGAAATTGTAACATTCTGTCGCAAAGGTTGTAGATATAGAAAAACTAAAGAAAGTTTACTGGGAGGAGTTGAGTTTATTAAAGGGCCGATGTGTCAGAATGGAAGAGCTGTAGCTATGGGAGAAAAAGCAAAAGGTTTTGGACGCACAGAGAAACTTCAGTTATGTATCAGAGATGATGATTACGCTAAAATGTTTGGCATGGTTGAAAATATCGCTGGCGCTTTTTTTCTGTAGCATTTTATTCTATAAAAAACCTTTCATTATCTAATGATGTAATATTATAAGTATTTTTAAATAAATATTATGGTAAGCAAATTTAATTCTCAGATTCTAGTAATGGGATAAAATAATTCCAAAGATTTCCTAAGCCTCTTTTCTTGATTTCGTGAGTGCCTCATGCTGAATTACAGCAGTATTTTACTCTCTAAGAATCATTGATGTGGCCACACCCCAGACCCTGGATATGCTAGTGCTTGGGATGGGATGGTCCGAAAATAAGATCCACAAAAACAATTCAATCGCCTTTTTAATTATGTCGTAATATCTTGAAAGAAATAAGAAGATAATTACCCACTTGTTGGGTGATAAATGAACGCCATAATTGCCAGAAAAATCGGTTTTCTATTCATACCAGTTTAATATTTCTGCATTCAAAATTAAAACCCAAAACTTGATACCGTAAGAAGTTGTTTTGACAGATACATTTGCGACACTACGCTTGATTGATTGTTACTTTAACTTTTACAGGCCGTGTGTATTTTTGTATAAATTTATTTTTTGCATGTCTAAAAAAATCAAAGCCGTTATCTTGAGATTGTAAGCACCTGTTTTGATAAATAGACTACTTCACTAAGTAGATTTTTACTTTTACATTTTGATTCTATGCATCATTAGCTGTCACAGAAGGTGAATTTTTGTCTTCTAAGTTTTGGTAATGATCTAATGTCAGAAATGAGAATCATTTTGTACGAAGACTAGGTGTCATAATGACAAGTAAATGTTTGCGTACTATTGTCTCAACGTAAATGCAATTTGGCCTTATTATTTTCATTTATTCATACTTGATCTACTGCTGTACGCATAGTGTACTTAGACCTGGGGTGCAACTGTAAAGAAATAAGTTTCTTCAAGACACACTTTTGCCAAATCAGCTTCAAAATTAAAATGAAGGTTGTACAGGCTAAATGTAACACACGGATATAGTTACACTTTATGCAATAAATTAAACAAACGTTTAAATTTATTTTCAAATTGACAATTATCATATTTTAACCAGTATGTACACATATTGTGTTTCCCTATACAATTATTTGTATCAGCAAAAATATTAATAATTTATTATATTTATTTTTAAAAAATTGTTTGGTTTTGTAAGACTTGTCATTTCTTTTGCAAAGTCATATTTAAAAAAAAAAAGAAATATATTGTCTATCTACATAGATGTAAGACATCAAAGTATCTCTTTACATATTCAATGGCTGTGATATTATTTTAGTATTGTTAAGGTTTAACAATTTTTTAATATCAAAATATTGTTAGGAATTTAAAGTTTTTTAATGCTTAATTACTTTCACTTTCATACGCAACTACTACTTTTACTATTATTGTCTACTGTTCAAATTTTTAAAAGAGTTAGTCTACTTATAAAATGTTTGAGCTCATATTAGCCTGATGAAAAAAAAACAAACACTTTAATTTAAAATATATTTTATTTTTTAGGGGAGACTGTTTAATGTTCAAATTGTTAAATATTTGCAGACGATTTTTGAGTTTTATTTTAGAGATTTCTCAGCGCCATTGTACAACGCTGGGCAATCTCTAGGTGTTAACATTTTATTTATTGCTTATTACTCCATAAAAAATGTTATAAGATATTTTGCATTCTGTGACTAACCGATTCGATATAGACTATCAGACACTATCATTATGTGACTATAGACTGTCATACACTACTATCTATTTAATACGAGCAGTTAAACATTTTTAATGGATGTTTTTAAATATATTTGTGAAAATTTAAATGTCACAGTATTTATTTATTAATAGCCAAAGCCTAATTTAAATACAATTTAAATTAATTTTAAATACAACGTGTAATATGACTCTAGTGATTAAGTTTTAAGTTTCTTTAGCATTTAATCCTATAAAAAATCAGAAAATGAACTATCCCACGAAAGGCATCAAATAGTAAAAGACTAAATTTTGAAAATCGTTCATTTAAAGAGAAATTAAAAACTTTCAGAATCACCACAGTTAATTACAGTGATATTTATGCAGTTTAAAAAAAAGAAACATTACGTTTCTAAACATTATATTTAATTTTTATTTTATATAAAACAATTTATATGTTAATAAAATAGTTATCTCTGAACCTATAAACTTATGTAGTTAAAATGTGTATATTATTTTGAATTATATTTGTCCGATAAATGTAGGCTACATAATTTGAGATATTCCAAGTAAAAAATACACTGCACTTACTATAAAATTTTGTGCTGGAATGAAGTGACGTTTTTCTTTTCTTGTTGAACTCTGGAAATCTAAGTTGGCATACTAGTGACTTTTTTAGGCATTTTTTTCGAAATTATCCCAACATTTGTCACAGCAAGTAATTTATTACAATTGTTATTTTTTCTTTAAAAAATTTAACATTTTTAAAGATGTTATTAACTAATTTTTTTTTTAACTTGGTTAGTCTCCATTGGTGTAACTGTATCTTTTGTTTTTTTTTTGTTTTTTTATTGCAATAAATTTTTTCTATCGCTTGTGAATTTATTAAATTTCTTGACATTAATACATTTTTATGTAAGAGTATTTAGAAAATAATATCTACCCTTTCTCGAGTGGCTTAAACAGAGTCACTCCCAAGCTTGTGGCCTCGAGTTCATTCAATCCTTAACGGAAGCCTTGACTAGCAAAAACAAAATCAGCACATAGGGAAGCGTAAACCTTAGATGGCACCTCAATCAAAGAGAAGGAAAGCTCCAAAATCAAACTCGCAGTTGAAGTCCCGTCGGCATTGACACGATGAAAATTCCAACAACTTCTGTGATGTGGAACCAACAAAGAACACATCTATACACAATAAACACTGCTTGTCATCTATTGCATCCTGGTCTATTTCCAGTTTTCTTGACTAATTCTTGCCATTGGATCCAGTAGGCAAAAAATAATATTGTTATAGTTATATTATAGTTGGAAAAGTTGATGCCCCACTACAGGTGTTCTTAACCCAAGATGCCCGAAACCCCTTGGGCGCAGGTGCCATGGTCAGAGGGTGCAGGATGACCCAGAGAATCCGATTTGTTTGCACTATTTTTTAAATTATTATTTTAATTATTTTTTTTGTTTGGGGGGGGGGTCGATAATTTGTTACACTTTGTGACAGGGAGAGGGGGGGTTCAAAAATTTGTGGCGTCACGATTTTTTAAAGTTTTTTTTAAAACTTTATTATTTCTTTTTTAATCTAAAATTGTCTAATTTTGAAAAATCTTCATTCAATTAATTTTAAAAACATTTATTTGAGGTCGAAATTGCCTCAGGTATCATAGGTACCGTGAAATTCAGTCAACTGTTGTGGCCGTATTACATTCGGCTTGTGGATGACTTTGTTGTTTCGCGTCACAGTTTTCTAATAATACAACATCTTGATCCATTATGGGAAAATATTAAAGAATAAAATAAAATCTTAGTTTCTTTATGAAAATCTTATACATGTTTCGATTTTTTTTAGACTTGACACTAAGAGGGTGTGGGGGGGGGGCGGGTAAAGAATTTGTGACACTTTTTTCCAGGGTGGAGGGTTGTCTAAAAAGGTTTTGCGTGACGTAATTTGCAAACAAACCCTTATTAAAAGTTTAATTCAGGGAAGGCCAACCCAAAAGGCTGTGCTGGCCACTTTTAATTAATACTTTTATCGAATAAATCCTTGGTGGGCCGCATGTCAGTCCGAATGGAATCAACATATTAAAATGTCCCCACAGAAATGTTTATCTCGTCTTAATGCACATAATGAAATGTTTAATACCAAAACTGTTTTTTTATCTCACTTAACTTTTTTTTTTCATCGATTGTTTTGTCGGTTAAATGAAGTGTTTTTTTGTTTTTTTCACTGCGGTCAGTTAGGCATCCAAAGCCGTAAGATTTGATATGGCCTGTCGCCATCTGTCCCGAGTCAGGTTGGCCTCGCTTGTTAAATGTAACAAAAAAATATTTCAGAGTTTAAATATTTTATTCCTTTTTTGTTTTAGATGTCCTTTGAAGTGCTGTCCAACAACTTTTACAATAAACATCTATGTTTAAAACCGAGTCATCTCATGGTGTGATTGCATCAATTTATTCACTAATTTTGGCTAAAATACGGTGATTGTAAGTTTCTAAAACAATATAACTATGACCGAAAAATAATAATAAAGCAAAAAATAATCACGTTTCCCAGCCCGATTTTGTCTCACCTGAGCGCCTACAAGGTTTGTTTATTTCCTTATCCTGTCTGATTATTGTCCGGTCAGTGTATAGAGGTTGGACAAAGTTTGACAGAGCGAGGTTCTGGTTCTGGTGGTGTACGTTGCTGCATCTATATACTGACATCTGTGCAACGGTGGAGGAAGCGATGTTGCTATTCTGACAGCTCCCAGCAGATGCCAGGGCAGGCTTGAAGCTTTCGACCGATGTCGAGTTCACAGCGGCATCGTCCAGGCGGTTCCATGCTATTATTGTGTGTGGGAAGAATGATTGTTATACTCCGCTGCGTTACACCGAGGCACAGTGAAACATTTGCTATTGTTTCGGATGTAATTGTTTATGAGCTTGTCAGTGGTGAAATCAGTGTTCCGTGAGCGTTTGGCTATGATCAATCAACCCTGCTTCTGTGGGGTGAGGTACGTGCCTGCTGGGATGGCCGGCATCAGTCCCATGACTACTTTGTATAAGAATATCAGGCGGAGCCCCTCTCGTCTGTCTTTAAGGGGAGGGATATCAAATCTGTTTAAGAGGCCAGTGACGAAGCCAGAAGTGATGGATTTGTAGTCACGTGCAATGAAGCGCATCTTGTTACGTTGGATTCGCTCCATCTTGTCCATGTCTTGCTTTAGGTGTGGGTCCCTGATGATCGCACCATATTCTAGTATTGGGCGGACGAGTGCAAGATAGGCATTTCATTTGCAGGACGTTAAGCAGTGGCGCAGATTTCTTGAATGAAGCCAGGTGTGGAGTTGGCTTTTTTTTTAAATTTTGTTTATATGGGGCGACCATTTTAGGTTATTTGAGAAGAGAATTCCAAGGTATATATTGATTATTTGATACTTGTTGGAGGATTTTCTCGTTTAATGAGTACATATAGGTTGATGTTTTTTTTTCCTTGAGATACTCATCGTGTCGCATTTTTTTTTCATTAAAGTTCATGCCCCATTTGTCTGCCCAATTCATAAGGCACTTCAAATCTGCTTGGAGGTGGTTGTGTTCATCGAAGCCGCATATCTCTCTGTAGACAAGACAATCATCTGCAAACAGCCTCACTTGAGATTTTACAGTATCAGGGAGGTCGATTAGGAGACAGAGAAAGAGAAGGGGGACCAGCACTGTGCCTTGGGGGACTCCTGAGTCTACGGTGGCTTTCTCTGATCGAACGCCGTCTACCACTACTTGCATGTTACGTTGTGTTAGGAATGTTAAGAGCCAGGAGTGAAGGTCACCGGTAATGCCGTTGTGGTGGAGCTTATGTAGAAGAAGGCTGTGTGGAACAGTGTCGAAGGCCTTGGAGAAGTCGATAATTGCCATGTCGACCTGGGTACCTTTGTCATAGGAGGCAAGGAGGTCATTGATGGTGATGAGTAATTGAGTTTCTGTTGAGAATCCAGAGCGGAAACTATGGTTTAGGTTGGTCCAAATGTTGTAGTGTTCAAGGTGGTTCATGATGTGGCGACAGATGATGTGTTCTAGAATTTTGCATGGGACAGAGGTCAGGGATATGGGGCAGTAGTTTGCTGGGTTATGACGGTCACCATTCTTGTAGGCACAAGTGATATTTGCATCAAGCCAGTCTACCGGAAGTTTGCCGAGTCAAGCGACTTTTGGAAAATGTGGGTCACGGTTTTTGAGAAGGTTGGCAACTCCTGTTTCCGTTATGTTGAAGGAGCCTATTGTACCAGGTGAAGGTTTTGGGGATGGTATGACTGTGGTGGAAATACCTTCGATATGAATGTACCCAAGAAGGTTAATTATTTATCAAATTCATTCGTTTATTTTGAGACGCATCTTGTGCTGCCTGGGGCAAAATGACCAACCCATCCCCTACCCAGATTTAAATAAATTTAGAAAATCTTCCACCGGATTGTAGTCCCTTCAATACCCAAACTAACATATTTTGTACTCCATATGGCTTGTTCTTATTTGTATAAGGTATAAGTGGATTAGTAAATGCTATTTAGCTATGGAGTTGCGCTGCACTGATTGACTTCAACCGCATTTTCTTATTAGAATTATATTTAAAGGTTAGTTTTTATTACGCTATAAATTTAATAAGTAAAAGTGTAATTTTGGAATTTAAAAAAAGGCAAAACTTTATAAATGTTAAAATATACAAAGCAAAAATGTGTGTGTGTTTTATTGCCCAATTTAAAAGCAATCAATTGTATTTATTAATTTTACTTTTAAGAAGGGAAAATACATGATCAGTTTTGTCACACAAGGTTATAACATTTAAAGAAACGTAAGAGTTTTGGCGAAATAGTCGATTCACACTATGACGTCATTTGCATGATAATTTAGAACAAATTACTTTAAAATTTTATTTCGCAATATTTACAAAGCACTAAAAGACCCACTAAAAACGACTGATGCTTGGGTTATCCCGATTAATGCGATTAAGGTGTAATTCTTTGATCATGATTTTTAATTTTTTTAAAATATTTTCATAACTTTCAAACACATATAAAATACTTAAAATTGTTCCTTAGTTGATACTTTAATTGTATTTGTAATTTAAAATAATATAACTTTTAATTTTAATACAATAAAAGCTCATTTGAAATTATTTTTGCTCATTTAAATTTATTCAATTTCCGTAAAATAATAGAAAATAACTCTGATTGATTTAGGAATCCGAACGTACTTAAATCGTATAGGCTCTAAGGCGTTATGTCACTGTAGCCAATTCTTATCTTATATACATATAATTTTATATATATATATATTTCTCCTGGAACTATTTTGCACCTTTACAAAAATTTCGTTCCCCCTTTCAAGACTACTTAAGTATTGATGAATATTATGGTCAGATGTGAGTTCTATTTCCTCCTTGGAGATATCCATTTCAAACAATAACTACCAAACACTGAAGGGAATATATAAAGCTTTGCACAGTTGATAAGCCCGCGTACGTTTTCAAGATGTGGAAGTTTCAGTAATGTTAATTCTGTTTTATTATTTACATATGAATACAAACGAGCACACAATGTTATCGCAATTTAAAAAATAAATTTACCAACAATTTAGTGCAAAATACAAACGTCAATGACAAAGATAGAAATCATCTAAAGTAACGGTTCTCAACCTTTGGGTCGCAACTCCTTTGGGGATCGAAGGACTCTTTCACAGGGGCGCCCAAGACCTTTGGAAAACACATACAATTTACAGTTAAGAAGTTGTAACGAAAATAATTTTATGTGTGTGTATGGGGGGGGGGGGGGAGGGGGGTGGGGTGTCACCACAACATGAG